AGGATAATAGTTTTTCCTTGCCATGAGGAAAATTACCAAGTTTCATTAGGAAGAAAATAATATGCCACACCACTTAAAAATATGATTGTTTTGTTGGCCAAAATGTTTTTTATTTTTTTAATTCTTAACCTAGTCCTAGAAAGATCACTTTGCATATAGCTGAGAAAAGTAGGGCAGTCATAAATGAATTTGCCAAGAACTCTATGATCTGAATCCCTGATGAAAACTCATTAAAATAAAACTGAAAGACTCTATTATCTCATCTCGCTTTATGAATAAACACAATCTGGAAAATATGCCCTTTTAAAGGAAGGATTTATGGATGCCATGTATATTTGATGGTAGCCTTCTTCCCTTCCTATGGTCACAATTCCGTAAAGATCAGAATGCACTGATATAATTTACTTATGAAAAGTCCAAGCACAATAATATTATCAGGTAGGATGAAAAGCAGGACAGAATGTAAGAAAGGAAGGCAGGAAGAGAAAAAAGAGGGGAGGGAGGAAAAGAGGCGAAGAGGGAAAGAGGAAGAATTCTCACCAAACCGTGGAGCTTTAATCAGATAATTTTTTAAAGGTTTGAAATAATATGCAATATGCTACCCAGACAATAGTCTCTTGAGAAGAGTTTCATTCTATGTATCTGTCATGTAAATAACAACCTAAAATGCCCACGGTTGTACCATAATAATGACTCAGAACTCAACCTGTTCTGTCCACTATTAAATTAAAACAACAGACAAACCAAAAAGCTATGACAATTACTCAAAGTGGATATGCTGAGCGGGTGGTAAAGGCTCAAATGGAAGTCTGACTTCATTATCTGACTAAAACCAGAGAAAGACCAAACATAATCACTAACAACATCCGAAACATCACTTCCTGGCATAAAAGTGTTTTCTTTAATTCAGGAATTCACAAGGTCCTTCCAAGAGACGAGGAGAAAAGAAACACTATTAGAGCACATTAAGATAAAGAGTTTACACTTCTCTGGATTTTTGTTTTCCTTTTCGATGAGTGTATTTTGGAAATCTGGGAGATGATTACTAACATTATGGACTCCCCAGCGGAGTATTCATAGTGGCGTAGAGACTCTTTCAAAATAAGGCACACATATATGTTGCTCTCCGATTGTCTCCCATGGAAGTGCCCCGAGAGAGTGATCTCAAGAAAAGGGACTTCAGGCACATTCTGCAGAGGTATATCTTTGTCAGCCTACTGGTTTCCTACAGATGGTGAAAGCAGAGTATGGAACATGCTGTCATATTTCATTCATAACACACATGTACTGTAGCTCGAGGCAACAGATGGACAATCACTTGTTTAAACTACAAATGTGAAATACTAAGGTAGCATGGCAATATTTCTAGAAATGTCTATGAGAAAAAGAAACCTTTCTGAGCCAAGAGGAGTGGTGAGAGGCTGGGAGGTCACATCAGTGTTTCCTGATCTCCCTAGCAGCTGCCATAATTTCCCTGACACCCTTCAAAACTTGATGATGGAGGGATCAGGGGGCAGCCGACACAGATTTGACAAGAGAAGCCCGAACTATGTCAAATAGAAATAACACTGTTATTCCTGGCTGGTTCACATTAATAGGATTTTTACTAACGAGGAAAACTGTTGGAAGTTGTGTTCTCAGAGTCCTGTCTGTATTCTATAAACCCTCTACTACAGTCCCGTTGTAAAAGTGCTCTCTTTCTTCCTCTGAACCCAAATAAAAACACTTGTTTAAATGTAGTTAGAGTTTTATATACTTTAAACATCACCATAAGCATCTTTGCAGAATCTTGCGTGGTGAGGAAACAATGATAGTGTTAATAACTCGGCTGCATTAGTCAGCATACAGCCAATGAAGTAGTTTTGATCAGAGAAGTTGCCCCTACAAAAATAATGTCAACGACAGGAAAAAGAACCCACATTTTTGAGCTGCAGAGATGTCCAGCATCTCAAAGCCTTGATGTCCCATGTTGGGACACATGACTTAGTTTGAGTTTTAAATGGAATTTTGCTTGCAAACAAGATTCCACGTTGAGTCAGTGTGAGCTGGGATCCAGACAGTGAAGAAAATTTGATTTTGAAATGGTGTGCAGAGCCCATGACATAGTGGGTTTTTTTTCCTTTTCCACATCTCTCATCAACACATAATTACCAAATATTTGTGTTCTTGACAATTTTTTAACAAACTTCCTCTTATAAATTCTGATTTTTCTATTATTTATGAATTTAAATATCAAGGTAATATACCAAAAGACAAAAGAATTATAATTGTTAAGGTAATATGATCTTTCTGTCTCTGTTATAGGCAAAATTTCATGTAACTAAAACAGTAAAGAGTGATTTGGCATTGTTTAAACCAAATGACTAATAGAAAAGACAAGAAAGCAATATAAATCATATACGTAAGAAATCCTGGAATAAAATATGTAGGATCCTTTCCTTATTATACCTTGTGAAAGAAAAGAAATCTAAATCTAAATATTTCTGCATATGTGTGTGTGCACATTCATTATTATAAAAGTATAATAGGTCTATATTAAAAAGATTTACTTTAAAACTCTTTGGTAAAGATACTCTGAGGTTATGTGATAAAAATGTACTATAAAGATTGAAAGCAAACAGTATTCTGGCAAAGCCACACTGATGGGTCTGTGACAGCATTTTCTTATAACTCTCTCTCTCTTTAAAATGTTTTGGCTTGTAAACATTTTAGTTACACAAGGACTTAAATGTAACAAACAAGTAGAATGTTACTGCATTTTTATAGTATAAATATTTCATACATTTTCCTCTTTTGGCAAAATTCATAATAATATGACTGCACTTCAAGAGATAAAATCCATCTCTCAATAAATTGGGCTTTTGGCCTAAACACAATTTCCTCCAAGTATTTCATAGAAAACAAATTGCTGAACCATTCAAGCAAATTACATTATCTCTCCAATTGTCTAATAGTCAGTGCTCTTTGAGGTCATCAGCATGTCTGATCTTGAATGTGGAGGACAGAAATTCAGAGATACAGTCACTATTGTATCCTAAAATTCACATGCTGCCCAAAATGAATCCCATTGTATTTCACATTAAGAAAAACATAAGACCAATGGTAAGAGTAGCAAAGTAAGGAAAGACAAAGTTTTCCAAGAAAACTTTGAAAAGTTGCAACTTTGGCGGTCACTTTAGGTGACCAAGGCAAAAGAGCCACAAATTAACTTAGATGAGCTAATGACCATAGGCTTAAGAATTTCTTATTGAAATAAAAAAAAGAAAAATGAACCATTTTTACAATCATTCCTACTAAAGTAAAATAAATGTAATTGGAATTCCTGAGGCATGGGGTGTAATTCAAAACACGCACAAATAATTTTTCATTTCTGAGCGCTAAAATTAAAAATTAAAATAAAAGACTAAAAATCGACATTATATCTTTATGATCATGAAAAAGGTATTTGTGGACCCAGGGAAGGGTGTGCAAGGGAATGTAACTATATTTGTTATATTTGATTTCTTAAACTGGGTGTTATGTATACAGGGATTCATTATATTATTATTTATATTTTGTGTATACTTAAAATACTTCATAATTTAAAAGTATATACTTGTGGAAGATTTGAAGAAATGTTTAAGAAATCTCAATCCAAAATACTCGATTAGTTTACAAAATGGCAACCTGCTGTGACGAAGGTGGGCGTCTCTTTAAAAGAAACAAGTTAGAACCCAATAGAATGGTTCTATAGTTGGCAAGCAAGCATTTCAATGCCCAGTAAGAGTTTGAATAAAGATTCCAGGCAGAGACTCTCCATATTTTTAGCTCAGAAAGGCAATTTTTTTTTCAGCGATTGTCTTTGAAAGTGTGGTATAAATGTCACATCGATGATAAGAAAACATCTCCCGTGATATGCAATTAGAGTTGCGGAGGGATTATGGGAGTGATGAAACTGTGGTTTCATAATTTTTTCAAGCTTTCCTGTCTTTTTAAAGTAAATTAAACAAAACTCTACAATTTTATTTTCTGTGCTCTGATTTGCAGTTGTCAGGCAAAAAGGACCCAGGCCTGGGGGGCAAAAAAAAAAGGAAGAATAGGAATAGTTCTTTACAACTGTCTGCTCCGGAGAAAACTCAACTTTGGTAGTTGTGTTTGGTATTATTAAAAAAACAAAACAAAACAAAACAAAATACAACCATGGCAATATTTCTGAGATGAAAAGTGGGACAGTATTGGAAATGCTATGTTCCAGAGAAAACAAAGTTTGTCTGAATTATGGTGTCTAGGTGGCATGGAAAAGGGAAATCTTAAGATGGTATTGTGGGATAATAATAGGCTTTCCAAAATACCCCCAAAATGCTTTTTTCCCAGCATATCCCACCTGTAATTCCTTCAGGAAAAAAAAGCAAACTTTGGATCTCTCTCACCCATTACTATTTTCAAATGAGCCCTGACCACTGGTCACTAGAGATTTTGAATTTCCAATCAAATTTGGTTGCAAATTAACTTTGGGCTTGTTTTAACCTATACAATTTATAGCTTAAATTCTTTGTAACCTAACATATACATGGTACACTTTTTTTTTACCCCCAAGGGGCATGACCGGTTTAGAGCAACAGAAAGATGTACTTTTCAATACACAGAAAAAGAATGGCTATCCTTTCCGATCACAGGCCACGTGGAACTGATAGGATAGACCCTTCAAGCCTAAAAGCACCTGTGAGTTGGCCGACTCACCCAGGAAAAACTGTGTGACAGCAAATACCACACTAAAAAAGGCCATTCAACCAGATGAAAAGTGAGACAAACATAGGGATTAAAAGTTACAGGAATGCAGAAGTGAATGGGATGGAGTATAATCCGTGCAAAAATGTGGAAGTCCTTGGGAACAAAGGCCCATCAAGGTCCTACATGATTAAATGTGAAATGTGTATTTGGTGAAAACTTAAAAAAAAAAATCTCATCATCTATGTGCTTCTAAAGAAAGGTTAATATTAGATGAAGAACAGAGACCATCCCACGGCTTGATTGCCTTTCCTGTATTTTCCCATTTCTTTTCTTATCTTTTTCTTGTGTTTCCTCTTCTCAGCACCGCCGACTAAGCAGCCAAGCAGGCGACTGAACTTAAAGGTCGGTGCTGGCCGTGGCGGTGAGCACCCTGATGCGGGCAGAGTTGCAGGTCTTGCAGAGGATGTGTCCGTCCAGAGGGTAGCAGCCTTGGTTATCCCCTTCGGACAGGAGACCACCACAATCCTGGAAAAACAGAAAGGATGTAAGTGAAACTGGAAACTACGGATGTGAGGACTGCATTCCTTGGCTTTCTGTTTGAGGCCTCCATAACGTGGCCTCTTACTACAGGGTAAAATGATCCCCCTCAGGTTACTTCATAGGAGAAGAACCCAAGGCTCTGGGGGCCCCAAGTAGTAGTTTTGTTCTCTCACCCAAGCAACAAAAACAGCAAGAACAAGAGACAACAAAACAAGAGGAGATCCCTAACTGCTCAGTCATCTTTACCCTTTATTACGAGTCTAAGGATCTCTCAAAAGGAAAACACAGGCGCAGGGGCAGAATTCCTTGGCCGTTTCGGGGCAGAAGCAGGGCTGTAGAGTGCCTCCTTCCAAGCAGAAGGGCCAGCCCTGGGCTCTGCAACCTGGCTCCAAGTGTAGTGGGAAAACAAAACCCTAAAGTGTGTTGGGAGTACTGGTTTGTGTTCTGGAGGAGACAGTGTGGTGCAGAGGAATGTGTTGGATGGGGAGACGGCCCCTCCCGGGGCACCCCTTAGCTCTGCCCCTGTGTCACTGAAAAGAGTTCCTGCATGTCCTACCTCACCAAGCTGTTGGGAGGATCAAAGAGGAAACTGGATGTGAATGTACTTTGAAACAAATGCAGGCAGCTACAGAGCTGGAAAGGATCAAAGGAATGTACTACTGTCAAAAGCACCTCCGCAGGTCCATTTTTGGAAAGTGTCATGTAACCGCCAAATACTGGCCCTTACCTTTGGAGGAAATGGAAGTTTCTTTGGAAAAGAAAAATACAGGACTTCATCTGGCGGTGTGTGGCCCTTGCTCACTTCAGCAGAAACTCGTCTAAAAGCCCACCACCGCCGCATGCCCTGCTTCTGCTGTCGACTAAGACAGTAAGGAGGTCGCTGGGGCTCATGCCTGCATTTGACTAACAGTGAAGGGCAAGGCCAGAAAGGGTAGGGCCTACAACACCACACCCACCAACAGCAGCAGGAACCAGACTCCCCGGAGCTGGCTTTGTTTGCCAAAACGAGCAAGCAGATATTCTGCCACTCTAGAGGCATTCCAGACACTGCATGATGGCGTTAAATGAACTCTTTTCATCGCGGTAAAGAAAGAGGGAAATTTCAAAAACGCCATGGCCGTAAGCATTGAATGAGCTGACCTCTACGGTCACCTGGGCACCATGAAGAGCCTGGAGTCAACCAGTGTTGGCACCATCAACGCCTTGACTCTGAGAACCCAAAGGGGCCACCCGGGGCGTCCAGCACACCCTCCTGGTTTATAGAGATGGGGAGGTGAGGAGCAGAGGGGGAAGTGATTTCTCCAGTGTCCTGCAGCGTCTGAGGTACAACTAGAACGACGGTCTGTCCCCTTCTAATTCGGTGCTCCTCCCATGCTACAGCATTGTTTCGTAAACAAAAAAACTTCACAGGACTTTAAAGCGAACCTAATGTGTACTGCTCTCATTTCATCTGGAAGGAGAAAAGGCACCTTTCATGCAACTCTGGGCACAAAACACAAAACCATTAAAAGTCAAAGCCTATCGGTATGCACAGCAAGTGTGTGAGCAATGTTGGGAAGCTTTTCTTCTTTAAGCCTCAGTTTCTCCATCTGTAAAATGACCTCGAAGGCATCTATTAGCTCTTTCACACTTATGATTCAGGTCAGTTTTAAGGCTGGAGGTGGTTGTTCCTCTGTAGTCATAAAATCTGGTGTAAAAGCTGGTAGTTTATTATCTTTTCTCATGTTAAGGACCCAGAGAGAGAGGCCACTTGGGCTCTACGGGAAAACAAAGGACCCCACATCAACCAGGTGGTGGGTTTCAGCTAGAGCAGTGAGTGGAATGAATGGAGTCCCAGAGGAGCCAGGGGCGGCCCTGTCCCCGGTGTCCTGGGAAGATCACCCAGGGGGACTAGATGAACCAGTGTGTGAGGGTGTGGTGGTAAGGCAGTTTATACTCTTCTGCCCAGAGAGAAGAGGGAGCTGATAAGTCCTGTCCTCAGGAGAGCTAGTAGAAAACAAGAAAATGGCTTCAAAGGGGGTTCTCTGGGTAACTAGAAGCAGATTAAGAAAACATTTTAAAATCACTTTTTGAACGTAGTGCCCTTTTGATACAGATTATGGGAAAGACTTCTGCCTTTTGCTGTAGAAATGACTACATGTCCCTTGCGCAAGAAGCCTTCCTTGTCACTTCCAGCCTGGATTAGAGGCCACTTGTGTGTGTTCCCAGAGCACCTGTGCATACCTCCCTGGAGCCCTTAGCAGCCGCCTGACCACCCATTTTATGTGCTCAGTCGGTGCTGTTAACTCAACCAATCTCCATGACTTGGAGCATCAAGTTCCCACCCCTCTGAGAGGTGTAGGAGTCAGTGTAACAATAATAAGAATAGTAACAAGAATACCATTTGTGCCTAATGTAGCACTTCGTGATTTACAATGTCCTTTAATATACAGTTTTGCATTTTGGTCCCTCAGCCAAATTTGGGGAGGTTAAGAATCTGAGTCCTTTCCACAGGTGGGGAAATTGAGACCGAGTGGTAAAGTGACTTCTGCAGTGTCACTAGCATTAAATGAAGGCCTAAGATCTAAAACCCAAGTTCTGTGAACACAGGCACCAGGGGGCATTCCCAGATTGATTAATTGCTGTGTTTGAGAAAACCTAGCTCTGTTAGGCCTTTCAATGCCTGTCATGCACTGACAGGGGGTGGGGGCGCTGACCACAGACCTCACAGCGGTAGCAATGAACATGGAAATCGCGATCCAGAGCCACAATCCGGACAGTCTCCTCCTGGCCTGGGGCTGGCATGATAGGCTCCTTGCACACAGAACATCGAGGGGCAAATTTCCTGAAAATGGATACACAGGTCTGGTTAGATGCTGAGGATGGACACTGACAAATGGGGGAGACCCAGAAGTGAAAAGAAAAGGAGTCAGCCCAGGGTCAGGACATTTGCTCTGGCATCTTGTGTGACCTTGAGCAAGTCACTTTCCTTCTCTGGATCTGCTTTCTCAGCTGTAAAATAAGGAATTTAGACTTGGCGAGTGTTGAGGTCCTTCTAGACCATGAACATTGTGATATTTGGTGAGGTGGGGAGTTAGTACGTGTATTGCTTATGCATGAAGAGCATCTAGGAGCTATTGGCCACTTGATATGTGGCATGAAGTTCGCTGGTGGATAGATTGCAAACATAGACCCTGGGGTAGGGCAGGGTCCTGGGGGCCCTTACTTGTTTCCTTTGCTTGACTTTGTCTTGCTTGACTTTTGCTTCTAGACTTTTATATGTGCTCCCTGGGCCCTCCACAAATATTCTGAGGTTGGTAACAGTGTCACTCCCACTTATTAGAGCCTCTTTCTCTGAAACTGAGCTCTAGGAATTAACACAAGAAACCTCAGCCACATAACTTGTCAAAACAGTAGAGGTTAGTGAGTTTAAATACACCAAACTTTACACCAAACTCACTATGACCAAGTCTGCACTTCCTAAGTTTCAGTTGTGTTAAACTCTGGTTTGAAAAGAACAAAAGTTCAAAAGCTAGAGGGTCTTAGCACGTCCAAAAGGTGTGGACACTTATGTGTGTAGATATGCACATACGTACGTGTGCTTTTGAGGTTAACTGTTGGTGAGGAATTTTAATATTTCCTGATCTCTTACTATTCCTTAATATGACCGATGGCTCTAAAATTTGTTTCTCATAACAGATTAAGAGGCTGCAAATACAGGCTGTGCATTCATCTGCATCTCCTGGAAATTAGGAGTGACATTTGGGAAGGTGTGAAATGAGACATGATTTGAAACGGCCATGGATAAAAACTGAAGAGATGGAAAAATAAAAAAAAAAAAAGGACAAACAGACTGTGCGAGTTGGTTTTTTCATGGTAATGGTTTTGAGATTAATGACATTAAAATTTATCTATTTGTAGTGAGACTGAAAAAGAAATAATGATAGTAATCTAATACTTTGCAGAGCACTTTATGGTTGTCAAAGCATTTTTACATACATTATACTCGATATGTACATATTAATTTTCTTGGCAGCACCCAAAAGGCATCTGTGTGGCTGCAATCTAAATAAATATGAATTAAGCAGCAGATCAATTGATTGCTATGAAAGAAAAATTAAAAGGATCATGGTACAACTGCAGCAGTAATCAGAGTTGTTATAATTGGCATTTTATGCGCGAAGTTTACACTCAGTGGTAAAAAAAAAAAAAAAAACTGCTTTGGACTACCTGATTATTTTTGAATCTGGGTCATCAGTAGTGAAATAAGCAGGCTTCTGGAATCCAGTGCAAAATTTCCTTTCCCTAAGCCCATCGAGACTATAAACTCAGTGAGGTCAGAAGTATGTCTTGCCCGTCATTGAACTGTGAGCTTGCCCTTCTTTCCTCAACTACAATTACTTACTTCTTTAGGATAAAATATCTTTCACTGAATTTGCCTATTTTAGTAGTAATTATTTGCACATCTTTGGGGACCACTAAACTGAGCTTCCAGCTGGCAGGTTTTGCTCAATCTCTGAATCTCCAGAAACAACTGTGACTGGGGCAGACAGCAGAATTTTAGGCTATATCTAACGAAATGAAGTGTCTGCCATATTGCTCTAATAAAAAGATGTTACTTGGACCTTTCCGTTCAATCTCAAGGTCCTTCCTCTTTGGAAAGGCATAAATTGTATTCTTGCTGAGTAATGATTCCTTCCTACCAATTGGCCTCATTTCCATGATGGGAAAAAACAAAGTGAAGAGACAGGAAGTGGTTTCCACAGTCCCCACAGTGTTCCTTGGCCGGCATTTTGAAGACTGTTCTAAATCCCAGGTGGTCAGTTTCAAGGCTCAGCTCACTAAGCGGACAATAATAATAATAATAATAAAATAAATTTGAGAAAAAAATACTTTTGATGGTTCAAACGGCTACCATATATTGTGTGCTTATTACGTGCCAAGCCTTGTTAAGCACTGTGCACTTGACCTCATTTTTCACTGACAGCAACATTATGAAGAAATAGTTTTTATCATTTCTGTTCACAGCCACAGGAGCCAAGGCTCAGAGAGGGCCGGTCTTCATCATCTTTGTCCTGGCACATTTCTGGCAATCAACAAATGGGTGCTGATTAGACAAATAAGTGGACGAGCGTAATATCTCCAATAAGAAAGCACAGATAGTGAAATAAAGGCTCAATGCAATGAAAGGGTCAGTTAAATAAGCTGGCTTTTCTGAGCTCACTGTCCTGGCACTGGGAAAACAGAAATAAACTAGGACTCCAGCAGTCAGAATTGTGAGGGAGTTCTATATATTTCTGCATTTGGTCTATTAGCTGAGATACACAGATCCTGTCATGTTGCAAAAATGGTTGAAGGTGGCAAGGGTAAAACTCTGTGTGTGAATGTATATTCTTTATTACTAATCAGGCTATGGTTAAGTACTAGCTATACCTGATTTACAAAACCCTATAGAACATAGAGAAAGAGATAGAAATTCAAACCTGGGAGAGGGAGGGGTTGAGGTCAGGGAAGTGTTCTCCGAGGAGGTGGTAAATGAGTTGGGGCTTGAAAGATGGCTATTTAGGTGAAAGGCGAAAGTGTGTGTGTGTGTGTGTGTGTTTTGATGAGGGTGGATACAGTCAGTTTGCCAGGGAACTAGTTTGAGCAGTCATCTAAAATAACATATGGGAAAAGAGTTGGTACCTAATAGGATGGAGGACTTGGGCCAACCTTGACTGAAGGTGGTTATGCAGGGGATGGCCCATTTACAAGGCCTTAAGAATAGTATTTGGGAAACTTATTACTCAAAGTGCAGTCCAAAACCACCGGGGAGCTTGTCAGAAATGCAGAATTGTAGGTCCTACCTCAGACCTACTGAATTAGGAATTTGCAGCTTAACAAGATCCCTAGGTGACTTGTAAGCACATTAACATTTGGGAAGCACTGGTTTAGAAGACAGGATGCTAAGCAGGCGAGATGAATCCCTTGTCATGGGCCTTCTGTATCTCACAGTAACTTCCATTCCCAGGCTGCTCTAGTTACAGCCGAGCAAATCTTCCATGAATGTAGAGAAGCCCTTCCTCACTTCATGCCCTTCTTGATTTCCTGAGTTGTTCCTGCTGTCAGGAACCTCCGTTTCTCACTTAAAATACTCTTCAAATTCTGCTTCCAGAAGCCTCCCCAGATCTCAGGGCCAAGTAATCTCCTCTGACTTGACACCTCAAGCCTTGGCCCCTGCCTGTCTTATCGTGTCTGGCCCCTTCTGCCTGATACCACACATACTCTGTGCTGATTCTCCCCCTCCTCCTGGCAAGCTCCTTGCTGACGGGCTTTTCTCTCTGTGTCTGTGCATTTTCTACCCCTGCAGTTTCTCTCCTTGTATCTCTCTCCTTTAGCACTGAGCACACAGAGGGCTCTTTGTAGACGTGGTGGAATTGAATTGAAAGGTTTTCCTAAAAGCTCATTGAGGGAGACCAAGAACAAGGCCCCCCAAAATAGTCTGCAGAAGGAGGCTGTATCCCCCCATGTACCCTCTCGTTAGCCTGGCAGTGCCCACCCTGGGTGGGGCTTTTAGCTGTTTTGTGTTCTAGTATTTTCAAGGCTCAGAAATAGAGTTCTGTAAAATGTATCTCTTATTGTCCTTTGGGAAATGGTGAAAAGATCAAAAAGCTCCCCCCGCCACATACCTGCCAATCATGCAGACAACATTATTTAAAAAAAAAAATAATTTGTGTTTTAACATGTCACTGAATTGGTGGTGGTGGTGGGGCAGGGAGGCGGAGCTGGGGCTTGGAGATGGCTCTTCCCTTTTAGCTGCTAAGACTGCTTGTCTGGAGTGTTCAGACCCACACACTTACGTCACCAGTCCCAAGTCTCTAATTATGCTCCTCACTCTTAGAAATGAAAGATAAATGGCAGAGATATAAACTTCCATTTGTCAGAATTGATTTCCTGTTTTAATTGGGGGGTGTAATAGATCAGTCTTTTCCAAGCAACAGAAACATGTGTGCTTGGATTACATCTACCAGTCCTCCTTGGATCAGGGTATGTCGAAGAAAGGAGAGAAACTGTGACAGAAACACACTCATCGGTATCTTTTCACTTCCCTTAAATAGATGCAGGTTTTTTTTTCATGTGTAATTACAAGCTAAAAATATCAATAACATGAAGTATAATTTATGCTGTGACTGCCCTTTCAAAGTGAGCCCTTACTTGTCTAATTCAGGTTGAGAATTCCTGCCTCTGTTTTTTGTTTTTGTTTTTTAATTCATTCAGCCTCACGTCTTTTGGTGAGGTTTTCACTTTCTTTGCTACTTGGAAAATGGTCAGGAAGTTCACTTTTAAAATAGTGGAGTCTCAGGTCCCCAAACTGCCTGTGGCAAGTTCCTCCTGATTGCTGACAATCAACAGAGTGGTGAAAATTAACCCACAAAACTGCACATCTAGAGGTCATAAAATGGAGACCCAAACTGGGGAGCCACATGAGCTTTATCTCTGTGAGAACTTTGGACTGTCCTCAAAGACCCAGACTGCCCAGCAAGCAAGTCAGAAAGCCTCTGTGCCTACTACTTACAGATCATCGCTACAGCTTTCGTATTGTTCCCAATTATACGTGACAAATGTCATCAACCAATTCACCAACTAAGAAAGGGGCCAAATAAAAAGAAGCAAAACACAAAACTGTACAATTTTCATGAAAACGGTAACTATAACAGGGGAAAGAGGGCCCGATGAATGAGAAAACTGAATGAGGACACATTTTTTTCCAGGCCCATGAGTAAGTGGTCTTGACCTTGAGACTCTACTTTCTAATGTTCCTCAAAAGACTGCACAAGACTGCATTCATTAAGGTTATTAGAAAGTGTCCTGAGGAAAAGAAGGCTTGGGTAGGGAAACAGGTTATGGGAGGATGTGAATATGTTGCTAATGACATGAAGCAGACCTGGAATGTGAGAGGCTTGTATTAGGAAGAGGGAGTGGATTTTTCTGTGTCCATCTCCATCTCCCTGTGACCTCCTCTCTGAAGATGGGTAAAGATGTAGAGGTCAGCTCTAGAGAGAAACTTGGGCCGTCACACCTGGGGAGCTTTAAGACAGGCTCTGTTCTAATGACCAGACTGAAAAGCTCAGAGCCATTGAGCAATTTGTCCACTGTAACATATCTTGTTCATGTATAGGTCAGGGAAGGCTACTCCCGGATTCTTCTTCTTTCCAATACACATATTCTGCAGCTGAGTCAACTTTCTCAGTATCAGAGCCACACAAAGATGTGACTGATCAAGCAGAAGCCAGACTGAAGGACCAGCTGGATTAACTGATACCCATTCCTGCATTAGAGGAGGGGATAAACAAGCTTCTTAAGGTCCCACCAAATCCTGAGATTCTACAGCTCTTAGAGAGAAGAATGCGTGGCCCAGATAGCAGGCAGTGAGAACAGACTCCAGGAGGACTGGCAGGCTCGAGGGAATAGTGTAGACTGCCTACTTGTGGAAGTCCTCAATGCAGTGAATGAGACCACCAGCGTCCACGGTGAATGGGATCCCATCAAGGCTGCGGTGGCACATCACACAGGTAAAGCAGTGAGGATGATAGGCCTTCCCGGTGGCTCGCAGAATCCGCTCCATGATGGGCTTGGAGCACACACTGCACTGCTCCAGGGTATTCTGGGGAGGGAAAGAAACATGGTAGTGTTAGTTTGGGACTTGCAGAGCTCCATGTATTTAGTCCCTTACAGCACGACCAGCACCTTACAGACACATTGGCTCGTGTGCCTATCACAGTACTTGGAAGAAGGTAGAGTGCGTATCAAGGAAACACATGAAATAGATCAAGTGTCTTTTCTAAATCTACCCAGGTAGGTGGTGGCAAATCTAAGATTTAGAACACATGTCTTCTGACTTCTCTCCCTTTTCTACCACTATTGCAGGGTTGATGGCAAACATTTCTGTTAAGGCACATAGAGAAGACATTTCTGGTCCTGTTGCAGCAGTTCAGTTCTGCTGTCATAGGGTGAAAGCAGTTGTAAACAGTACTAAGTAGATGGGCATGACTGTGTTCCAATAAAACTTAATTTACAAAAGCAGGCTGGATTTAGCTCACAGCTGTAGTTTTTTGACCCCTGAGCTACACACCCCAGGTTCTCCACTGGAAGAACATTTCACTATTCTAAAACTTGATTAGTCATCAAAAATCTGGTAGGGTCACCAAGGACCTTAAGATTTTAGAGTGGTCTGCCTGACAATGGAGACACGCAGAACGTGCCAGGTGTAGAGCCCAATCAGAGCTCAGCACAATCAATGAGGCTTTTGATTCTTTTAAGCCTTGATTCGAATACCACCTCCAAGTTTAGTGTTTGTGAACTCTTGGTAGAAATGTTGAATCTAGAAGGGTTCTAGTTTTGAGAAGTGAATTACGGAAGTCAGTTTTTCTGGCTTTAAAAATGAAAAACAAAAACCCTCCTGCAAAAGGATACCATATATTGTCAGGATGCAGATAGACTGATAAAATTAGATATTAACTTTCCATCCTTCCCTAGAATCCCATGCTGTCTTACCAAACAACTATGTTTCACGTGTAACATGCTATATTCCAAGTGAAATGTCTGGACTGATGCAGAGTTTACAATCTAGAATAAACCTGGGATGGGGATCTGATTAGAAAGATGCAGAACTGGAATTGCCCTCTTACCATGAGAACCTTTAAATGGCCATGACGTAAGAAATGCCTATAGGTGGATAACTAGTGTGCTGATGTCTCGACCACAGCAGCAGTCTGATTGGCTTCCTTGTCTGCATCTCTCCTCCTGTAACACTTCCCTATCCCCAAAGTGACTTCTGGTTTTCTTTCCAAAACACAGATGTGACCAAGGAACTTCGCTGCTAGCAAAAACTTCTATGGCTCTACAATGGGAAAAGACCTAATTCCTCACTTGACATTCAACCTCCTTTTCTAGGGTCAGATTTCCCTAATGTCTCAGACTGTTCACTCTTATTCAAACCTATAAGAGACTTCCATACTTCTGTGCACTGGCTAATGCCTAGTATGAACCACAATTTGTCATTTTGACCTTTCAAGGTACAGGTCGGAAGGCAAGTCTCCAGTGAGGCCTTGCTGCATGCCTTCAGTTGGAATCAACTCCTTCTTTCTCTATCCCTCCCAAGTACTTAATTAGCATTGCTTATAGCACTTACAGTGTCCACTGTATTGAAATTATTTGTGGGATGCCTGGGTGGCTCAGTCACTTAAGCATCTGCCTTTGGCTTAGGTCATGATCCCAGGGTGCTGGGATCCTGCATCGGGCCCCTTGCTTCTCCCTCTGCCTGCCGCTCCCCCTGCTTGTGCTTGCTCTCTCTCTGACAAATAAACAAAGTCCTAAAAAAGTTATTTGCACATTTGTGCAAACTAATTTCTTTAGCGAAAGGGTCATGTCTTTTTTTTAAAGTTTTAAATTTTAATTCCAGTGCAGTTAACATAGTGTTGTATTAGTTTCAGGTGTACAGTATAGTGATTCAATGATTCTATATATCACAATGATTCAAAAATCACAATGATTCTATATATCACACAGTGCTCATCATGATAAGTGTACTCTTAATCCCCTTCACCTATTTCACCCATCCCCTACCCACCTCCCCTCTGGTAGCCATCAGTCCATTCTCTGTAGTTAAGAGTCTGTTTCTTGGTTTCTCACTCTCTTTTTCCCCTTTGCTCATTTGCTTTGATTCTTAAATTCCACATATGAGTGACATCATATGGTATTTGTTATTCTTTGTCTTCTTTTGCTTAGCATTACACATTCTAGCTTCATCCATGTTGTTACAAATGGCAATATTTCATTCTTTTTTGTGGCTGAGTAATATTCCATTGTGTATATACACACCACATCGTCTTCATCCATTCATCTACTGATGGACATTTGGGGTGCTTCCATAATTTGGCCGCTGTAAATAATGCTGCAATAAACATATGGAACCATGTATCCTTTCAAACTGGTGTTTTTGTATTTTTTGGGTAAAAACTCAGTAGTGCGATCCTGGATCTCAGGATAGTTCTATTTTTAACTTTTTGAGGAACCTCCCTACTATTTTCCATAGTGGCTGCACCAGTTTGCATTCCAACCAATAATACACAAGCATCCCTTATTCTCCAAATCTTTGCCAACGCTTGTTGTTTCTTGTGTTTTTGATTTTTAGCCATTCTGATAATAGTTTAGATTTGCATTGTCCTGACAGTAAGTGATATTGAGCATCTTTTCTGTCGGCCATCTGGATGTCTTTGAAGAAATGTCTGTTCTTGCCTTCTGCCCATTTATTAATTGGATTATGTGTGTGTGTGTGTGTGTGTGCGTGCTGAGTTGTATACATTATATATTTTGGATACTAACCCTTTATTGGATATGTCACTTGCAAATATCGTCTCATGTTTAGTTGGTTGTATTTAGTTTTGTTGTTTCCTTCACTGTGCAGAAGGTTTTTATTTTGATAATAGTCCGAATAGTTTATTTTTGCTTTTATTTCCTTGCCTCAGGAGACATATCTAGAAAAAATGTTGCTATAGCCAATATCAGAGAAATTACTGCCTGTGCTCTCTTCTAGGATTTTTATGGTTTCAGATCTCACATTTAGGTCATTAATCCATTTTGTGTATGGTGTAAGAAAGTGGTCTAGTTTCATTCTTTTGCATGTAGCAGTTTTCCCAATACCATTTATTTGAAGAGACTTTTTCCCATTGCACATTCTTGCCTTTTTATCAAAGATTAATTGACCATGTAATTGTGGCTTTGTTTCTGGGCTTTCTATCCTGTTTCATTGATCTGTCTATTTTTGTGCCAGTACCATACTGTTTTGATTACTACAGCTTTGTAGTATAACTTGAAATCTGGAACTGTGATACCTTCAACTTTGTTTTTTCTTTTTCAAGATTGTTGTGGCTGTTCGGGGTCTTTTGTGGTTCCACACAAATTTTAGGATTTTTTATTCTAGTTCTGTGGAAAATGCTGTTGGTATTTTGATAGGGATTGCATTAAATCTGTAGATCGCTTCGGGTACTATGGACATTTTAACAATATTTGTTTTTTCAATCCATGAGCATGGAATATCTTTCCATTTGTGTTATCTTAAGTTTCTTTCATCAATGATGTATAGTTTTCAGAGTACAGGTTTTTTATCTCCTTGGTTAAGTTTGTTACATACCTAGTAAATATGAAAAATAATTTCATTATTTTTGGTGTAATTGTAAATGGGACTGCTTTCTTAATTTCTCTTTCTGTTGCTTCATTATTATTATATAGAAATACAATGGATTTCTGCATATTGATTTTGTATTCTGTGACCTTACAGAATTTATTTTTTCAGTTCCAGCAGTTTTTTTGGTGGAGTCTTTAGGGCTTTCTATATGTAGTACCATGTCATCTGCAAGTAATCAAAGTTTTACTTCTTCCTTACCAATTTGGAGGCTTTTTCTTTCTCTTGTCTGAGTGCTGTGGCTAGAACTTCTAGTACTATGTTGAATAAAAGTGGTGAGAGTAGACATTGTAGTCTTGTTCCTGATCTTAGGAGAAAACTCAGTTTTTTTACCATTGAGTATGATGTTAGCTATGGGTTTTTCATCTACGGCCTTTATTATGTTGAGGTATATTCCCTCCAAGTCTACTTTGTTGAGGGTTTTTATCATGAATGTTGTACTTTACCAAATGCTTTTTCTGCATCTATTAAAATGACCATATGGTTTTTAACCTTTCTCTTGTTGATGTGATGTATCACATTGATTGATTTGTGAATACTGAACCACCCTTGAAAACCAGGAATAAATCCCACTTGATCATAGTGAATGATTTTTTTTCATATATTGTTGGATTTGGTTTGCTAATGTTTTGTTGAAGACTTTTGCATCTGTGTTCATCAGTGATATTGGTCTGTAGTTTCCTTTTTTTTTTTTTTTGTGGTGTCTTAATCTGGTTTTGGTATCATGGTAATGCAGGCCTCAGAGACCATGTCTTAAGAAGGTATTTTGCGGTCTCATACTATACCCAGTATACTACCTGGAATAAAACTAAACCAAGGATGAATGTATACAAAAAGAATGAATGAAGGAAAATTGTTTACATCCTACTTAGGCATTATTGGACTGGTCTGACTCTCCCGACTCTGAAATCCATCCCCAAATGAATTGGTAAATTCATCACCATCCTCTCCTCAAAGCTGTGGTTGCTGGAGGTTCTGAAATTGCTTAGTATGCCTCTGGTCACAGTCTAAACTCATGGAAACTATTAACCTATTTCCCCCCATTTTGAAGTGGTGAAATTAAAATAGCAGAAGAACATAAGATGAAAGTCTGGAGAAAATGATGCTCTGGACAATGAGAGCCCTGCTTTTTTTCTATCCTGGTGATCTGGGCTGATGTGGCTGCAAACTGTCTTCCTAGGGCTTGTGTTTTGCTCTTTGTGGGTTTTAACTTTTTTTTAAAGGCAGCCCTGTAATGGAGTTGAACAAACCAGAAAATGCTTGACAAGAGAATGTTTTTGTTTGCACTGAGGCTTGGCTGCAAGATTTAGCCCATTTACTCAAAACCAGTAGCAGCATATAAGGTTGAGTCAGTTTCTAAGGAAAGACTTTATGGTCTGTGGAATCACTGTTTAAATGACAGGTAATCTGAACATTTATGC